ATTTGATGGAAGAAAAGTGCTATACCTAGCTTTAAACCACCGTAAATATACAGGGTGGCCCATTATTGCGAGGAAGTCCAATATCGTCGTTCTTGTCGAAGATGTGAAAAAAGTTTTATTCATATGTTTCAAAGTTTATAAAGGGTCGTATCCTAAAATATTTTGTTATATACAGGGTGTCACAAAAAAGTTATGGTAAAGTTAATTTTATTTTTTTAATTATTTTACATCATTCTATATATATTATTCTATATATTACCATTATATATTACTCTATATAGGGTATTTTTTTATGGCGATGCGATGGCGTCACCAAAATCGGAATATTTAAAATTGTATATCTCAATTTTTTTAAATGCAACATTCTGTATATTATTTTTCGGTCAGATGCAGAATTAAAAAGTGAATATTTTTTTATTTAAAGTGTTTCTCTAAATTTTTAACGGTTTCGCAGATATTCGCAGTATATTACATATAGCTTTTTCAACAGTAAATTTTTATCAAAGCCACCTAATATGATTTTTGTCTGATATTTTATCGTTGAAAATCCCATATGTAATGAAATACAGAAAATATTTGCAAAACGCCTAAAAATTTGAAGAACATTTTAAATACAAAAAATGTTCACTTTTTAATTCTACATCTGAAAGAAAAATAATATACTAGGTGTTGCATTAAAAAAAATGAGATACAACATTTTAAATATTACGATTTCGGTGACGCCATAAAAAATACCCTGTATACGATAAAGTAAATTTTTCTACACGAATTTATTCTGGTGTCCTTGACATGTTTAAGAAAAAATAGCTAAGTATTAATAAAGTTATATTCACTCTAGTTTTTTGCCACTTTTCATATATAACGTTTTTAACCAAAGTTTTAGTAAATAAGAAATAGAATGGCAACACCGCAGTGTGCTTTAAATAGAATCCAGTTATCTACAGAAATTTAGACTTGTTTTAAATCAAAAAAAAAAATTGTAGAAAATCTCTGAAATAGATAATAATATAAAAATATGTCATTATACCTATATATTTTCCGCATTTCTTCCCATCAGAAGATTTTCAGATACAGAAGAATTGTTACCTACACGAAATGTGAAAACATTCTGTTTTTAAGCAAGTTTTTACTCGATGATCAATTTATTTTATTTTATTGGGAACTCATATTTTTCTAAATACATATCTGTGAAACTACGGCGAGTGCCACGACCACGCCACGACTATACCAAAGAGTAGATAAGACAAGAGACGACAGTGAACAAAGAAGTCGAATTTTGCGAGAGAGACGCAGATATATTAAAATTTAAAGGTCCCATCAAGTCCCATTTTGACTGTTGCCAAGTATATTTCTTTGAAAAATAAACAAGATTTTCTGAAAATAAATTAATAATATAAGAAGGATATAAATAACGTATGTTAATACGGAAATGTAAATTTTTAGTTTAGGTTGGTTTAGGTTCTTTTTTCGCAATGTACTGTTAATATAAAAGAAACAGAATGACTAACTAAGTTGATCGATTTCAAAGATAAACGATAAAATCTGAAAATCTGACAACGGCGTATTTTATTTATTCTAACCTATGATTTTAGGACGCTAATCAGGATTAAACATAAACAAATCTGATTAGTTGTTTTCTTGCATTTTTGCCTTTTTAAAGTGTGTGTTTCAGAGTTTTTCGATATATTATCGGTTTGAGAGTTTTTAAGGTTTAATTTTAGTATCGTTTTTGTTGCGTACTAATTTGTAAATATTGTTAAATATGAATACTGAACAGGACACGAATAGCAGGAAAAGACGAGATGGTGGCAATGTGTGTGCTTACAAAGACTGCAAAAATAGGTCCTATTCTTCGACAAACATAATATTTCACTCTTTTCCAAAGGATCCTGAAAAGTTATTAAACTAAGATCGAAGACATGGTTAGAAGCTTGTAATATATTTTTACAAAAAAAATTGAGCAACTCTTTTTTTGTACATAAACTCCACATTGTGATTTTACACTTGTTCAAGTCCATATGTAAAAAAAATACACGTAAATAAAACATTTCTTACAAATCGACTTGGTCACTTTATCTTGTTTACAAACGATATACAAAATATTGCTTTTGTTATCTTTATTCCCCGACAAATATGTTTCTAATTATCATTTATTTTATATAATATTTAGAAACCCCATTTTTTTTCGTTTCTATTTATTTCTTTACCCATACAGTAACTATTTATAAGCTATACAGGCAAGTTTTAATAATAGTCTATTTTAAATTTCCCGCGAAAAAATTACGAAAATTTAAAGGGACAGGCGAGACGAGGTCACTCTCCCCACCACTCAAACATGAAAGGTACGGCGTGAACTGTCGTCTCTTGTCTTATCTACTCTTTGACTATACTTTGCCTAGTTAATAAACCACAACTATACAGCCACGTCAGTGGTCACGGGAGGCGAGAACAAGGTCATATAAAGTGGCAGAAAAAGAACAAAGGATTTGACAAGGAGTAAATCTACTAGTTTCCTTATACTATGGTATTAGTCAGGTTAGGCCGAGTCCACACGGTTCCGCAACAATATATTTGATCATTAAATCTATGAAACATTATATGTAGATACATGATAGGTTTCATAGATCTATAGGAAGCATTTGATAGAGTACAACTTAAGGATGTGATTTATCCGTTAAACTAAATAGATGTCAACAAGTACCATACAAACTTAGTAAGATAACTCAATATAAATAATAAAACAGAATGTGGGTTAACAAGAGAATTAAAAGTATCATCTGGTATAAGACAGGGAGACAGCGTCAGCCCATGTCGATTATTGGTTCATGTAGGATTATTGGTTCAACTTTTCTTGACCATACATTTTCGAGGATACGTTGACCGGTGAATGTTACGTTTTTTAGAGAACGGTTTTCAAGACATGTTAGAAAAGTTAAATTTAGTTATAGCCAAATCTTATCTTTCTTGTTGCGTCTATTCTGTTATGATTTATAATTTATAAAAAGTCAGAATATATTATTAAACGGTTCTTTACAATTTACATTACACAAACTAAAACTTAAAAAAAATAATATTACTACATACACTTTAAATTATTTTAGAAAACGTTCAAAAACTCCGCCATTGTTGTGAGTTGCATCTTTTTAAAACTGAATTACTACTTATTCTCACCGAAGGACCAGTCGACTTAATTAAACTTCTCTCGTTCCGCCACTTCTAGTGCCTCTCTTAATTCATAAGAGTTTTTGTAAACCTTCTTGTTAACCATACGGCATAAAAAAATTTAAAATGAATATGTCAGGTGATCATATCAGGATCAGATCAGGCCCATGCAATTGGTCCACCTCTTCCTATTCCGGAGTTTGCATAATGTTGGAACCATTCTATTGATGCGCGAGTATCTACAAGCTTTTCTTCATTTGAAAAATTCATATTTACAATTTTTGTTTATTTTAATTTAAAAAGTTTGGATGTGACAGCTTCACATTTCTGAGAGCAACGAACGATTGAACTTGTTTCCATGGCTTTCCAAGTGAAATTGTTTAAACATGATAAGAATTGATTATAACTCTATAACATATTATAGCTATAACATATTATTACTTCTTCTTCTTCCTGTGCCTTGTGCTTAGCCGCACGTTGGCGATTGTCTGTACTCTTCATACAATGTGTAGACTGCCGTTTTCGGCTCTTCGAAATATGGTGGCTGCGTCGCTGATGTTACACCAATCCTGTATGTTTCTTAGCCAGGAATGTTGTTTTCTTCCTGGGCCTCGCCGGCCGTCCCTTTATTTTTCCTTGTAGAATCAGCTTAGGAATGTAATATTTGTCTCCTCTAAGGATATGGCCGAGGTATGACACTTTCCTTTCTTTAACTATGTTAAGCATTTCTCGTTCATAGCCTGCAGTTCTTAAAATTTCTTCGTTGGTGGCATGTGCGTTCCATGGTACACGTAAGAGTCTTCGGAGAGTCCACATTTCGTAAGCCTCGATGCGGTTCAGGGTTCTAGCCTTGAGAGACCAGGTTTCTGCGCCGTATAGTAGGATAGGCCATATGTAGCATTTTACTACCCGTAGTCTAAATGTTAGCGGCAGACTGCGTGCTGGGTTTTTAGTTTAAAATGTTGCTTTGCATAATTCGTTCCAAGTTTAACTTCCTCATCGCAGTCCCATCGTTCGTAAGTCAATTTAAAGCATTTTCTAAAATTATGTAGAGTTCTACAGGGTGTCCCCAAAAAAAGTTACACATCAAAGTTATGTTTTTTTGTAATGGAACACCCTATGTATTTATTGATTTTTGGATTCTAGTAAAAAAATAAAGGTTTGTTTTATTAGAAAAGTATATGACTAAAACGTATAGTTTTTGAAATACATTCATCGGCACGAAAAATGGGAACCTTAAAACTTTGATGTATTTTAAAGGTTAATATATTTTGTTTTAATGGGCCGATTTTGATGATTTTTTAAGCAGTGTGTAGCCAAGTTATTTGACTTTTTAGTATCTTTTTCTAAATTAACATGAAACTCCCCATCTGTTAATTATACGAGGGAAAACAAAATGTTGATATTTTGGTGAAAGTTTGAATAAGTCGATCGTCTCGATTAGAAGTTCTCATACGAAGGTTCCTGGACGTCTAGGTTGACGTCCTCATGGTTGTGGTCATAATTCAAAAACCACTTAGTATACTCTATGGTATTAAGGTATTTTTGGAACCAGAATTTTATAGCAAATTTTCTGAACTAAACAAATATAGATATATATTTGACTCACCCTGTATATCTATAAAAATATTTTTGAAATGTGAACTACCATTAAACATATATTTTGTAAAAGGTTTGGAGTAAAAATCTCAAATAGGTGTCCTGATACAGAGCTTTTGCTTAATTTTTATTATGCTTAAAGCATAATAAAAATTAATATGTTTGGCTACAGTAAAACGCTGGATTTCTAAAGAAATAAGATGTTTAATAAGAGATTTTGATCATCTCTTCTAGCTGACGATGAGTCGTTATCCATCGGATCCCACCTAGAGGTCGCTCTTGGTGATGCTGGGACCTTTGCTCAAATGCAGGCCGACCCCGACAGGCAACGCCTCCTAGGGGAGAGGCCTTTACACGACCCTATAGCTGACATCATGCTCAAGGAGATCCAGCATCAAGAGAGGTAAGGACCTACATAGAAACTGGTTAATTCTTCACATTATTTAGTAACATTGAATTAGAAAAACTATGGAAGAACTCGGATATTCTTGTTTTAGTGTTATTTGACTTTTTCTGGACAGTCCAGACAAGTTTTTGCGAGTTATTTTTTTTAATATTTGTTATTTTTATACAAAACGTATAAGTCTGTAAGACAGTATGTTAAGACTTGAGTTACAATAAGGCTAGACGAGTCCGTTTCACTAGTCCGAAAAAGTAGCAAAATAAGCGTTCGGCATTTAACGTTTTACGTAAAACTGGCTAGGTATTTTTACACAAATTGAGAAGAAAATTAAAGATTATACTATATCCATATTGTAGCACATTTTTAGACAACTTCTTTATTTTTAAGATTTTGATGGTCAAACATCAACCAAATATTCCTTTTGTTTGGACTAAATTTTCTCGAAAATAAAGACGTTATTTAAAATTTCGTTACAATACGGAAATAGATTGAAGTTTTGTGATTATAGTGATATATAATTTATATGGTTTTTGGTTTGGTTTGAATGCTGAAGCTCTGCAAACCTTAATCAAGCCTTAATCAAAGCACGTGTGTTTGGAATTTTGGGTGAGGTTTATCACAACAGGATCGGGCTAAGCCTTAGGCAGATTTCTGAAATATAATATATCTTTTCTTCTGCCACACACCCGCTTTACCCCACCCCTGAGAGCGACCCAACAGTACAGCGTAATAGACTCTTAAGGGCCGTTTAGACTCAAATCTATTGTATCTAGTATTGAAGTCACTTACTTTAATTGTTCTCTACGATTACTTATTTTTCTGAGAAGGTTTTTTGACATTTTTTTCCAAAAATACTAATAAAAAAAAATAAGACATTATATTTATACTTTAAATGATCAATAATCAACTAATAATACAATTATTCTGGATTATATACAGACTAACTAATCCGAGAACTAATCTATTTTATATCCAGACTGAGTTGGAAATAAATTTATTTTCGATCGTACCAGTATTTGATGTAATTATAATTAATTGTAATGGACAAATAATTTTTCCACGTTACCTCAATTTGTGTGACTACAAACATACATACATATATGGAAAAGCTTGGCCTGGCTTTTATATCGTTGTTCACTAATCTATATTTTATTGATTACAATTACCAATGTTAAGAGGGTGTTTTTCTGTGCTAGTTTGTATGCATTTCAACTACTTTTGTTTAATATTATTATTTAGCCTTTACGAACAAAGAAATACAAAAAAATTCCTGCGGAAATGTGTCAACGTCATTTTGTGCACTTTGTTTTCATACATGTTTCGTTTTAGAAGCTTACGGGACCCGGGAGCGAATAGGGGTGCTGGATGGGGTAAAACATCTTTCGGAGGAATAACAATTCTTGTAGAATAGATAATATAGGTTCTTGTAAACTCTATAGGTACCTCGGAATGTTGCACTTATTCTTGTTTTTTATTAAAGCTTTACGTAAATAGGGCTGATTCAAAACAAAAAATTATTGGATCATGCAGTTTTCTTTTATATTTTAATAATTAACTGTGATTTTGCAAAAATATTAGATTGGTTAGCAATTGGGTTGCCTTGGTTAGCTTTTCTTTGTGGAGGGTGTTAAGCTGTGGTTTTTATATTTTAATAATTAACTGTGATTTTGCAAAAATATTATTAGATTGGTTAGGATTTGGGTTGCTTTGGTTAGCTTTTCTTTGTTGAGGGTGTTAAGCTGTGGTTTTCATATTTTAATAATTAACTGTGATTTTCTAAAAATATTATTAACACTTTTAAATGATTTTTTTTTGGTTCAAAAGTGCTTCATCCAAGGATTTTTTTCTTTTAAACTGTTCCATAAGCATAGGACTTTCTGCCAAAAAAAAATTGCTAAATTCGTGGGTTTTTTACTTGGGTTATACTTTACAAGACCCGATAATATAATAAGGAACAAATGGAAAATGAAAATCAAACATTTCCGCAGGAAATTTTTTATTTTCCTCAGTTTGTAAACGCTTCTAAAAGGCAAAAATATATTTTTTTATATAACTGATTTCAGCTATTCTAAAGTCTATTAAATTTCCTCAGAAAATGGATACAGTTTATTTCCGTAGGAAAATTTTTATTTTCCTCAATTCGTGAATGCTTCTAAAAGGCAAAAATATATTTATTTTTTATATAACTGATTTCAGCTATTCTAAAGCCTAATAAATTTCGTTAGAAAATGAAAACAGCTTATTTCCACAGGAAAATTTTTGTGTTTATATGTTCAGAAAAATATTAAAAGTAAAACGCAAAATGTATTTTTTTATAGCAGATTTCAGTTATTCTAAAGTGCGAAATTTGGAAATTACGCATTTCCTTAGGAAAATTTGTGTTTTTCGTGGTTCACAGTAACTTTTTAAAGACAATTTTTTTTCTAATAACTGATTTCAGCTAAAAGAAAGTTAACCCACGGCTACGTGTCTAAAGCTTATTACAAGGAATATCCCCTTAGATCCCGACAATAATACGTTCATATTTTATTCAGTCAATATCGTGTCGCCCGACGACAATACATCCCCGCCGCCAGTCGCTCATTCAACCGCCGCTTCGGGCATCGTGTGTCAGAAACTTTGCCCCAAAATAGGGCTCCGCAAGTAGATCCCCCTTTTTTTTTTATCGCGACGACGACGTGTTGTTCGTCAAAATGACGGACACTATCGACGAAGATAACTACGTGCCGGAAAGGATCCCTTCCAGCGTCCCCTTCAAGAGCGCGTTCTATGTTTGGATGCGGAAAGCCAGGTATTATAACATCGGAGGGTTTTTAGTTAAATGGAAAATAAAGTTTGTTATCATTGTCAGGGGTTTGTTATGTCCAAAACAATGAAGCGGCGGTTATAGTCTGTCCAACGACAAAATCTTTGACAAGTGTGTCTGTCATTTTAATTTCAAAGTAGTTTTTAGAGTTCTGTACCCAAAGGGTAAAAACGGGAACCCTATTACTAAGACTTCGCTGTCCGTCCGTCCGTCCGTCTGTCACAAAGGTCTATCTTATGAACCGTTATAGCTAAACTGTTGAAATTTTCACAGATAATGTATCTATGTCGCCGCTATAAGAACAAATACTAAAAACAGAATTAAATAAATGTTTATAAATAAAAGAGTACTTTCACTAAACATTATCTTTTAAGTAAGAATTTTATATAGAATCTTTCAAGGCCTCGGTGGCCGCGTGGTTAAAGCGTTAGGACTTTACGCTGCTATGACGTTGGAGCCGTAGTAAGGCAGGTTCGAATCCTATCAGCTAAATCGGAAAAAAAAGTTTATAATAATATAGTATCTAATGTTGTATAGATAATGAATGGTACGAAACCCTTCGTGCGCGAGTCCGACTCGCACTTGACTTGAGATTTTGCTAATATCTTCGGTTTGAAAGAAGATCAAGATGCGGTTTTCGCTGACTTTTTAAGTTTTTATTAAACGCTACTATCTGCTAAAATTACATATGTTATCGGATTTAATTTTTTTTGACAAAAAGCGCAATGTTTGTTAAATTGTCAGGCCCAAAGCCAAAGTCAGCGCCCCCTAGCGTCTACGTTGAAAAGCTTATTATTATTATTTTTATGGTATAATATAGAGTAAGGAACGCTGTTTTAAACGAGCCCTTGTTTGTTGGATTCTGATCATCCATATTTCGGAGTTATTAACATTTAAATAAAGACAAATCTAACCTTCCCCCACCACTTTATTTTAGCAGATAGGGGAAAATGGTTCTAACAAAAAAAAATCAAAATTTACCGAAGATTATGAATCTATTTATAGTACCTTTTATCTAGGCAAAATTCTGTAAAACTTCTATTTTCTTATTTTCCATAGCAGTTGCGCCCTCTAGCGGCCATTCTACAAGCTTGAAAATAATTTGCAGCAATTTCAATTTTTTTCGAGTATTTTGCGAGATACAGCTGATTCTTAGTGGGACACCCTGTACTTGGAATAAAATCGAAAGATTATTAAGACCTGTAACACCCTCTAGCTGCGAAACAAAGCAGAATCGGACCTATGTTGATATGAAAAATAATTCTTATATTTACGTAAGGAATCTCCCCACGAGAGGTGGCACATGTTTATTGAAACATCCTGTATAAACCCAACCAAAATTAATTTAAAAAATATTAGAACATTTTTTAGTGCAATAAACGGATTGGTATTGACTTTTTGTCATCGTCTGTCGAAATATGTGAAACAGCACTTAATATTGGTTAAAAAAAAGTCATAGAGAAAAATACCACTTTACTACATTTTGCATTTTTTTTTCTCATATAAACGATTATTTTTACGATCAAAACAATCTTATTCTCTTTAGAACAGTCGAAAATAGGTTTATGGGCAATTAAAAGATACGAGTACTCGGCACGAAATAACATAGAAATTTAATGGCATATATTCTTCGCCAATTTATCATTCGATTGTATGGTTAAGTTTATGGGTATTGATCACGCCATTTATAGTTCTTAAATCTGACATTAATATTTTAAATTTATTTGTAGTAATTTTAATGAAAATATTTATTTTCTTATATTTTTAAACTAGTGCTGCTAGCTTTATTTTTTTTATAATTTTCATGTCTGTGGATTTGAAGTCTCTCTCTCTGTCTTTATTCCTACAAGAGGAATGTAGTGGTCAGGTGATGTGTGAGGTTTGTCTCCATAATTCCCTGTCTTGTGCTTCATCTACAAGCGTGTGCAGTGGCTTGTGGGTGATTTTTAATAGCTGGTCTATCCATCGGGGAGGGCGAGCGGCCTCTTGGTCTTCTTCCAGGAACCTTGCCCTGTATAATGAGTTTTTCCATAGTCAGTATCCCACTAAAATCAGCTATCTAAAAATACTCGAAAAAAATTGAAAATACCACAAATCTTAACTATATAACTTCCGCATTTCAAAATTTTTAATGGTTTTGCAGATATTTGCTGTTTTCTATTTCATATGGCACTTTCCACAGCAAACTTTTATCAAAGCCACCCAGTGATTTTTCTCTCGTATTTTACCGTTGACAGAGCCATATGAAATAATATCGCAAGTATCTGCGAAGCCGTTAAAAATTTTGAAATAGTCTAATTGCAAAAAATTTTCATTTTTTAATTGTCCACCTATTAAAAAAATAATATACAGTGTGCCCCATTTAAAAAAATCAATCCGGTCCACTCACACTTTTTTGAGCCACCCTGTAGAGATTAATTTATTTTCTAGAAATACATCTTAATACATGCTTTAGGTTTGCACTTAAACAATATTCCTAAGTTTTTTTATGGTAGAAGCTACAGATGCCCGACGCACTATTCCGGACTCTGTATAATAATCTTATTAATACCATTTTTATATTTTATAACATATTTAATCTCTCTCTCCCTGTCTTTATTCCTACAAGAGGAATGTAGTGGTCAGGTGATGTGTGAAGTTTGTCTCCATCATTCCCTGTCTTGTGCTTCATGTACAAGCGTGTGCAGTGGCTTGTGAGTGATCTTTGATAGCTGGTCTATCTATCGGGGAGCGGCCTCTTGGTCTTCTTCCCGGAACCTTGCCCTGTATAATGAGTTTTTCCATACAGTCAGTATCCCTCCTCATAACGTGACCGAAATATTTAAGTATACGTGACTGTATAGAAGTTGAGAGGCGTTCTATGATGTTCAGTTCATGGATTATGGATTCATTGGTTCGCCGGGCAGTCCAGGGAATTCTGAGCATTCGTCGCCAACAGCACATCTCAGTTGTTGTCAATTTTTTCATTTCTGACTGTCTCATCGTCCAGGACTCGGAGCCATACATTAATATAGGAAATATTAGGCAGTGAACAAGCCTTTTTTAAGCGTTTAGATATGTTTTTATCTCGCCATATCTTTGAGAGTTTTCGCACTGCCACTGTCATTTCACATCTTCTTCTTGTGTTGTTTATAAGTGACTTACAACCTCAAAACGACCAATGCTTACTACATCAGGTTTGTTGTTGTTTTGCCTGTCGATAATCAGAATTTTTGTTTTGGAGGGATTAATTTCAAGTCCAAGCTTCTCGCTTTCGTCTTCAACCAATTTTAGAAGCTGCAGTAACTCTTCTTCGTTACCCGCTAAAAGTACCGTATCGTCTGCAAATCTGAGGTTGGTGATTTTGTGACCGTTAATTGTTGTCCCCCCTTGCCAATGTTCCAGTGCCCTTCTCATGATATATTCAGTATATATATTGAATAATTGAGGAGACAGTATGCACCCCTGCCTAACACCACAAGTAGGCTGGAAGTCTTCCGAAGTAACGCCATTGATGCTAATTCTACTTTTGGTATCTATATAGAGATTCTGGATCAATGAAATTAAATGAGGAGGCACGCCCATTTCTTTAAGAACCATCCATAGTTTTGACCATTTGACTTTGTCAAAAGCTTTTCGATAGTCTATGAAAGAAATATAGAGCGGATTGTTAAATTCTCGGGCCTTTTCGATAATCTGACGGACATTCAAAATTTGTTCACGTGTTCCTCGACCTCTTGTGAATCCTGCTTGCTCTGAAGGGATTTGGGGTTGAATATACGGTTTTAGCCTTTCGTTAATGATATGAAGAAGAATCTTACTGGCATGTGAAATTAGCGCAATGGTACGAAAGTTGTCGCATTTGGCTGGAGATCCTTTTTCGTGGATGATTATTACGGAACAATCGGTCCAGTCTGATGGCCATTGTTGAGTATGCCATATCATATTACATAACTTGTGCAAGATGTCCACACCAAAATCTCCCGACGCTTGGAGCATTTCGGTCGTGATGTGATCTGGTCCCGGGGCTTTATGATGTTTTAGGTTTTTTATTGCTGCTTGAATTTCCTATTTTAGTATGTCTGGTTCTTCATTAGTTATATCACTGTGGAAAGGGCAACTAGGCTGAGGATCTTTTTCTATATACAGTGTTCCGCAGTATGTTCACCATTGTTCCATTATTTCGTTAATTTCGGTTTTAAGTTGTCCTCGTTCGTTTTCTATTGCCCAAAAAAAACATATTTACTAAACATATTTAATAATAAATATAAATAGAAATAATTAACAGTCGTCCAATTAAGTCACGAGCCACGAGTGGCAATAACTTGCTTAAAGATACTGATTTAATTCCAATAATTAATTTCAAAAGACCCTATATAAATCTGTTTTAAATGGTCCAGAAGTAACACATAAATCAAATTTATTAATTGTTTGTTAAACCCATCAGTTTATCAATAACAAGCTACATATGTTTGGTATTCTTTAATTTAAATTGTTTAGAAATCTTAATGATGCTGTAAACTTCACATATGCAAATTCATCCGTAAGAAAACAAAATTTTAATTAACAAAGTAAGAGTTAGACAGGAAGTAATAGGTTACCACTAATAGCATTACTCAATTTCAATTTCTTGAAATTTACAATCTAACTGTAAACAAAAACAATAATAGTATTTTCAATAATATAAATGTTCAAATAAACCAATTTTAATATTGTTTCTATTTATTAATTAAATAATAATACGCAAAGTTTGAAATATGCTCATTTGATAAAATCGCCCTTCCATACTGATGAAAATATCTAGGGAATCTTGGTTGAGATATTTCAGGTATAAAGCCCTTTTCCTTCAAGAATTTAAGACATGGACCTAGTTGCGCAAATATTTGAACTATGTTCTAGAACAAACTGTTAAAATAAACAAGTAACTGATATTCTAATGTACTAATTTCTAGACTAGTATTTCTAATATAATATAATAATACAGGAATTGTATATTGTAGGAAAAAAATAATTAGAGAATAACATCCACTACAACCTATAATCATATATTTAAATATTTTAGTTTTTACTACTGCCAGTTAAGCAGTAAAATTTTTGAACGAAAAAAACTGCCTGTCAAAAAAATGTGTACAGCCTAAACATCAAATTTAGTGATTACCACTGTGACATAAAGAGAAGACACGTGGCTATCTATTTCAAAAATTAAATTGTTCGAATGTATGGCGGTAGCTGTCATGGAATTGAGCGATTAAAAAATTATCATAAATCATTTTTTCCAAATGGAAACCTACTTTTTTTATTTCACTATGGAAAGATTTCTCAATTCGTTACTTTTTAACTATACATGTTCCTATACCTAAAATAAATTGTTTTTAAGCTATTTAAGATTTAGTTTTAACATAAGGTTTTAACGCGTTCATTTTTCTTGATTTTAACCAGTAGCCTATGGCTTTAAACGTCAAGTGATATAAAACGATAGATCTGGACATGTTATATTGTGACACTTTGTTCAAAAAGCAGTAGGTTATTCAATCAACATTTCCTAGCCAACTTTACGCCGTTTTTTTCGACCATACGGTATACTAAGGGCTGGCAAAGGTTAGTCTTGGGTCAAGATTTCCATATGTAAGAAGAGTACAATGCGTTTATAATGTACTGAACAAAGAGAGGGCAGTAATCACGTTGCCAAACATATGAAATAAACCGAGAAACTGTGCACATCGCTAAAAGCGGCCCATACATTATCAAACAAATTGCGCAACGAAGCGATGCGCAACGTTGCGTTGCACAACTGATTCAGCGGTCCATACACTATCAAACAAGTTGCGCAACAAAGCGATGCGCAACGTTCCGTTGCACAACTGCCTCACCCATGCACTTAGTAAAATTTTGATCAAACTTTTTATTAAAATTTGTGCATTGTTTGAAAACAATCATGTCCTCAATTGCCATTACGTCAATTATTATCGTATATACCCTAGATGATGTCGATGATACCAAAAACGAAAAAGAAAACAAAGAATTTGGATGAAAGAACTAAAATATTGCACAACGAAGCGCAACACACACATACACTACACAACGCGTTGCGCAAACAGTCCTGTTGCACAAAAGAATTCAAATATTCTTGAAATTCATCAAACAATTGCGCAACGCATCAAACACTATCATACATTGGCAACTCGTTGCGCAACAGCCTGCGTTGCGCAATTTGTTTTATAATGTATGGGCCGCTTAAGAGACGTGGAAGGGGATAAAGCAGATTTGTCGCAGTTGACCGGTCGACCCAATCAATACCTCTGTCAGTACTTAAAGTTCTAGGGAACGGTGTACGTCATGCGTTCAGCTTCACGATTTAATTACGTCTCGTGATACTTAATTTGTTCATTTATTAACGAATCGTTGTAATTTTCCCTATAGCTTGAATTTTTTGTGAAGTGCAAGCTAGAAACACTTGCATTTTTGGTAAAAATAAGTGGAATTGAGTGGGTGTTCGATAGTGGTCGCGCTATTAGAACTCTGAATTCAAAAATCGATATCTCGAAATCTATTAGAAATAATAGATTGTAGTTTTTTCAAGAACTTTGTTAATATTTCTGCTGTATTTTCTTTGTAGACAGTATGTGAAAATCTTTACCAGTAAAAAAATTACACGATTGCTGAAAATTGCTATGCTCTAAAAGTAAAAAATGGATGGATTGTTTACAATTTTTGAATATTTTGCCTTATCGAATTTTTCTTATGTAAACATATTGTAAAATATCCGATCTTGAAAATAAAAAAAGTTTCAATATCTAAAGTGGTTCTTGAGTTATGTCCTGTTATGTGTTAAAAATTTGAGTTTTTAAATTATCGCGATTACTGACGTTTTTTCGTTATAAAAAAATGACACCCTAACGATATCCTTATAATTCCATTTCAGATGCTCAGAAACATGTCTAATGATTTTATCTAGTTATAAGCGGTTTGCGATCGTGATTTTACTTTACTTGATAGGGAAAGGCGTATCGGCAACGCCGCAACAGCCTACCGTCGCGCGTCGCGTCGGTCGGTCGCATTTCTCTCACGACTTAATAAGATCCCTATGCGATTTACTTCCACACATGTAAATGCCGACCCAAAAGTAACAGTTGCAAGCACGGTATTATTAATATCAACTATTAGATATCACCACAGATAACACATAATATAGATAACACATAATTATGTGTTATCTGTGATATCACTAAAAAGCGAAAATACGAAATATATTTTTATAAATACACTTTTTACTCTTAAGCAGTAGTATTTATAATATAGGAAATTCAAATAATTAGTTTTTTGACAAATAAATTGTCTGATGTTTGTACGATTGTTCTTCTCTGGTTTGACACTTATTAATGTCAAAGGAAGCTAGATAAAATCAAGAAAAATATACATTTTAAAACTAAATCATAAATATCTTAAAAACGATTTATTTTAGATATAGGAACATGTATAATCAAAAAGTACCGAATTGAAAAACCTTTTCCGCAGTGAAATAAAAAAGTGGGTTTCCATGTGGAAAAAATGATTTATGATAATTTTTTAATCGCTCAATTCCATGACAGCTACCGCCATTATTATACGACATTCAAACAATTTAATTTTTGAAATAGATAGCCACATGTCTTCTCTTTATGTACAGTGGCTGTAATAATCACTGAATTTGACTTATAGGCTACAGACATTTTTTTGACAGACAGTTTTTTTCGTCCAAAAATTTTAAATATTTTTTTTTCTCAAAAACGGTTAATGTTAGGTACAGAGTGCCAACATCAATATTCTTAGAGTTTTAGAGAGAATTTAAGTATATAATAAAAATGGTGGCACCCATTTAAAATAATAAAGTTGCTGTCACATTCCGGTATTTCCGGAAGTGCCGCCATATTGAAACTATTTTTATTCGATAGATCTCATTGTGAAACAGTGATATGCAAAACATCTCCGATCTAGTTATTGTAGTTCTCTAGAAACTTCTAATCAACGCTCAGCCTGGGTCACCCTGTATACTATGAGGATAAAATATAATTTAATCAATATTAATACTATACGTCTTCT